CCCAGGAGGACTTTGGGCCTTAAGGGGCCACAGGTGATTATCCTGGTATGAAGAAAAGGACAAGAAACCCGAGCAGTTTGGGTAGCAAGGGGAGAACGGGAGAGAGAAATTCCAATCAGGCCGTTTAGAAACGCCGTGGAGAGCCTGGTGAGAGTGAAACCACAGCGGACGAGTTTCCAGCCCTTATTTCCCTCTCTCTGGAAAGAACTAGGAATCAGGAATCTGAAATTCGAGCCATCACTTTGTCCAAAGCTAACTCTGTGCCCTTGAGCAAATCCCTTCTCTTCTCTGTGCCTCAGTTTCCCAGGAATCCATTTGTAAAGACTTTTCCTATCTGTAACCAGGGTGGTGCTGTTAATCGACCAGCAGAGGGCAGTGATGCACCAACATTCTCTGCGAATCTGCATTTTGTCTGGCCTTGGACAGGAACATTGAAATCATTAATTCGTGGTCTGTGTCACTCTCTTTTTCAAAGAGCCTTATTTTATTGGCTTTTTTTAAAAAAAAATCAGTGCATAGTTAGAGCAAGGCCTTGCCACAGTGCAGAGATGAGGAAGCAGAGCCCCAGAGGCATAAGAAACTTAATTCTGGCAATTTTGGTCACATCACATCCCAAATTTAGACTCTCAGAATGGTATGAACCCATTGCTGTACGTCTGAGCAGCATAGCATCAATCACTCATTACCTGCTTTATGGTTCATGAAGCACTTTCTGATCCTCTATAGTAAACAATTCTCATCTTATTCTCCTCCAGTTTATAAATGAGCAAACTGTGGCTTCTAGAGGCTATATCATTTGGCTTAGCATTTTCCTTTTTTTTTTTTTCCCAGACTTTTTTTTTTTTTTTGAGACAGGGTCTTGCTATGTTGCCCAGGCTGGCCTCGAACTCCTAGCTTCAAGTGATCCTCCCACCTCAGCCTCCTGAGTAGCTGGGATGACAGGTGTGAGCCACTGCACCCAGCAGCAGCATATTCACAATCAGCTCTGTCTTAGAGGCGGGTTGGTGGACTCCCAGAAATATTAGCTTAAAAATGGCAGAGCCTGGTATTTTGCAGTTTTTATGTGATGAAATGTACTGCATTCTCATCCAAATATTGCTCTTTGTTTTGGAAAATGAAGTAAGCCCCTTTCCGTGTCTCAGCAGCTGCACCAGTTATTAGCAATCCGCTAGGGAACTGGAATAGCTTTAGGTCAACAGCGGTTCTCCAAAGGGACAATAAAATGACACACCTGTCCCCAGCTCCAGATTCTGATAGCCACACCCCAAACATCCAGTCACTGTTTTTGATAGTCTTTTGATGTTGTTGTTTTTTGCTTTTGTTTTCGGTTTTGGTTTTGGGGTTGTCTTTTTTTTTTTTTGAGACGAAGTCTCGCTCCGTTGCTCGGACTGAGTGCAGTGGCGCCATCTCAGCTCACTGCAACCTCTTCCTCCTGGGTTCAAGCTATCCTCTTGCCTCAGCCCCCCAAGTAGTTGGGATTATAGGCATGTGCCACCATGCCTAGATAATTTTTATAATTTTAGTAGAGATGGGGTTTCATTATGTTGGCTAGGCTGATCTCGAACTCCTGACTTCAGGTGATCCTCCTGCCTTGGCCTCTCAAAGTACTAGAATTACAGGCGTGAGTTCCAGGCCTTACTTTTTTTTTTTTTTTTTAAGAGACAGGATCTCACTCTGTCACCCAGGTTGGGGTGCAGTGGTTTGATCATAGGCCACTGTAACCTTGCACTCCTGGGCTCAGGCAATCCTCCCACCTTGGCCTCCCAGAGTGCTGGGATTATAGGTGTGAGCTACTGTTCCTGGCCATTTTTACCATTTTTAAGTGTAAAATTTGGTAATAATAAGTACAGTTATATATATTCTTTTTCCTCCTTGTGTCTTCCTTTCCCTTGTTCCTTTGCTAGCTTTTGGTAACCATCAGTCTACTCTCTATCTTGACGAGTGCTGTTTATTTAACTTCCACAGATGAGTAAGGACATGTGATGTTTGGCTTGCTGTGCTTGGCTTATTTCTCTTAACATAATAATCTCCAGGTCCATCCACATTGCTGCAAATGACAAGATGTCATTCTTTTGTGTGGCTGAATACTATTCCTTAGTGTTTACCACATCTTCTTATCCTGGGATAAAGCAAGCCTCCTGCCTCACCCACCTGAGTAGCTGGGACTACAGGCACATGCCACCATGTCCAGATCATTTTTTATTTTTTGTAGAAACAGAATTATATTATGTTGCCCAAGCTTGTCTTGAACTACTGACCTTGAACTACTGGTGTGAGAACTACTGGATTCTCACACTGTGGCCTCCCACTGTGCTGGGGTTACAGGAATGAGCCACCAACACCCAACCACGTTGGCCATTTTAATGTCTGCTTTTGAGAAACATATTTCAGATCATTTGCCCATTTTAAAATTGGATTATTCATTTTTTTTTTTTTTTTTTTTTTTTGCTATTGAGTTGTTTGAGCTCCATATATATTCTGGTTTTTGATCCCTTGTGAGATGGTTTGCAAATATTTTCTCCTATCCTATGGATTGTCTTGAAATAGGAGGTGGAACTCGATGCCAGCGGCAGGGCTCAGACAGCAGACCAGATTGAGGACTAGCTAAAACAGGGAAGAGGCGAAAGCACTTCTCCATAAGTCAGGGCCACCACTGTGCCTGTCAGTTTACCGTGGCCATGGCAACACCCGGAAGTTACCACCCCCTTCCATGGCGGCAACTCAACAACCTGGAAGTTAACACCCTTTTTCTAGAAATTTCTGCATTTCATCCCTCTAAATAGGACTGCAGAACGTCCCCTAAGCTGCTGCTCTGGGCACACTGCTCAACACGCAGCAGAACCTCTGTCGCTGCTGCATACTGCTGCTTCGATGACAGTTGCTGTCTAACACCACGGGCTCACCCCTGAATTCTTTCCTGGGCAAAGCCAAGAACCCTCCCGAGCTAATTTTGGGGTTCACCTGCCCTGCATTGGCCTCCTCACTTCGTGGTTTCTCTTAGTTTTTAGCTGATGTAATTTCAGTTGTCTGATTTTGCTTTGGTGGCCTGCGCTTGTGAGGCCCTATACAAACATTCCTTGCCTAGAGCCGTGTCCTGGAACATATTCCCAATGTTTCCTTTTAGTAGTTTCATAGTTTCAGGTCTTAGATTTAAGTCTGGCTGGGAGTGACGGTGCATGTCTGTCATCCCAGAGCTTTGGGAGGCCAAGGCGGAGGATTGCTTGAGTTCAGGAGTGCCAGACCAGCCTAGGCAACATGGCAAAACCCTATCACTACAAAAAATACAAACATTAGCCAGGAATGGTGGCGTGTGTCTGAACAGTTCCAGCTACTTGGGAGGCAGGAGGGTCACTGGAGCCCAGGGATGTCAAGGCTGCAATAAGCCAGGAGAGTGCCACTGCACTCCAGCCTGGGTGACAGAGTGAGATCCTGCCTCCAAAAAGTTTTAAGTCTTTATTCCATTTTGATTTGGTTGTTGTGTGTGGTGAGAGATAGGGGTCTAGTTTCAGTCTTCTGCGAATACTTCTTGCAGCCTGGGAATTGAATAACAAACTGACTGCCACCCAGCCAGCCAACATAGTGAGTTCTTGATGGACAGCAGCTTGCAGCCCCCGCCTCTGACCGCTGTTTCCGGTTTGGAGATCCAGCTCCAGCTCCAGCAGCAACCTCCGCTCCAGGCCCCACCTGCCAGGGCAGCCCAACACACTCAGCTTTGCAAGTTCATCATCTACAAATTCCATCTTCATCACCCACACTAGCACCCAGAAGGTCTCTGCTGTCCCTCCTTCCTCCCCTGGGGGCACCCACTGCCTCTGGCTCTGCAGCTGCCTCCAACACCCCCAGCACCGGGAATGGGGTTTGGCCCCACATTGAGCAGCCCTGCTCCACATTGGGCAGCACAAGCTCAGCTCCCTGAGATTGGCAGTTTCAGTGGCACCCGTGGGCTCTGGGAGCAGAGAGGCGACCCCAGATCTGAGTTCCAACTTTGTATCACTCGGCAGCACAGCAGGAAGGAGAGAGGCCTGAGAACCTCACAACCTATGGGGGGAAGCTTCGGCCTGAACAGGTGTGGCTCCCCTAGCCAGAGGACGCCATGGTGACCCAGGGACCCAGCGCTGGAAACAGGTGTCTCTTTGGCGGCACTGTTACCCCTCCTTTGGGTTACATCCCTGGAGAATCACCCAAGCAGAAACCTCTAATTCTAACTTGGGGGCCCAGGACCACTGAAAGAAAGGCTGCCTCCAGGTGGGAGTCCAGGTCAGGCTCTGACCCTAGTAAACCTGCTTCTCTCTGGGCACAGAGAGAGGAAACCTCAACTCTACGGTCTCCCAGTACCTGTTGAGGGCTCTGCTGGTCACAGAACTACATCGTCGTCCACCAGCTCATCCTCTTTCACATTGGAATCCATTCCCTTTGGGTCCAAAAAAGGAATGCAGGACTCAGAGGAAACGTTCCTGGAGCCAGTGTCCATCATCCTCCCTGGATAGACCTTGTGTGTTATGATTTATTTTTTTCTTTTTATTTGTACAGATTTAAGGGATACCCGTGCAGTTTTGTTACATGCATAGATTGTGCAGTGGTCAAGTCGGGGCATTTAGGCTAACCATCACCTTAGTAATGACCCGTAAATTTATTAACCAGTTCCCCATCATCCTTTCCCTCCCACCTCCTCACCCACCAGAGTCTCCATTGTCTATCATCCCATCCTCTGCATCCTTGTAAAACTGCTCAGTGAACTGACAGAGACTGAGACAGAACTAAGTGCGTAGACTTAGTAGCATGCAGACAAAAGGTAACTTACATAAGTGGTAAGAAACCCATTTCTATCGTTTCACAGTGTCTCTCAGTGAGGACACACTGAGTTTCTTAAATTTCATTTCCACCATATGTTTTTAATTCCATCAAGAAATTGTGAAGGTAGCACACCTAGAAGTGTCTAGCGACTCAGGAAGAGCAGAAATGTGTGGGCTCGGCTTTTCAAAGGAAGAATGGAATCTCAGGTCCTTCTGCAGCGCCTCACCGTGATGATTGCATGTTGATGGGCACGTGTGAGATGTGCCTTCTCCAACTGTTCTTAACACAGCAGCACCTTTCCCATCTAACGATAAAAACTAGAAGAAACTTCTTATTCTCAAATGTTCACTTTGTGTGTCCCCTCTATCAACTATATAGGATGGGGCCAGTCCCTTTACTCCTCTAACTTTTTTTTAACAGAATATAATAATATGGAGGAAGTGATTTTGTTTAGAAACAAAACAGGTGCTCAGAAATCACACCCTTGTACCTGTGAAAATAGACATGTCTGGATAGCAATGGTGGAAACCCGGAGTGAGGCTGCGTTGTGTATTTGATAATCCCGTGGTGACCTGTCACCAAGGCCATGCGCTGATTAGCATATGGCCTTTTACTCCGCCCGTCACCCTGTGAGTGGAAGAGTTCGCATTAGCAGTTGGCAGTTTGAGAGAGTTGAACACAGCGTCCCCCGCGATTCCCATCTTGGGGAAATGGGAAGATGGAGAATGCTGGAGGCCCAGTCCAGGCGGGCACTGTTCGGGTTGCCCACGTTCCTGTCCTCAGATGACAGCACTTCCTCCCCTCTCCTTGCAATTAGGGAACATCTGCTTCCCAATTCCATCTGTGGTTCCAACTAGGGTACCCACTTTAATACCATTCCCACGCCCGCCTGAGACACGCGTGTACTGTGATTCCCAAAGCTGGCCAAGCATGGCGCTACGGCCCACGACCCGCAAACACAGAACCAAAGTCCGATTTATTAGAATCCTTCCCCTACACACGGAAGGAATGGATGAGGAAGATTTCTCCTTAAGGTTGACAAAACTGTAAAACTATGAGCTTGAAACATAAATATAATGGGTTTTTCTTCCACGATATGGAGAGAGATTTCCCCAACCCTACAGGGCCTAGGGAGGCAGGAGGAGTTTGTAGAAACTGAGTCTTGGTGAGGAAGGATGTGAGCAGGAAGGGGCCCGCTCTGTGCAGGCGCAGCCACTGCCCCTTCCTATCAGGCCTGGGTTCACCCTGATCACATTTCTGTGGAAAGCATGGTCAGTGAGACAGTGGGGGTCACTATCTCCACTCATTCATCCACTGAAGCACCTGCCGGATGCCCCCATCCCCACTTCATTCCCATTCATGCTCATTCAGGCTGTGTCAGTGGAAGGGAAGTTCATTCCTGGCTCAGCCATCCTGTGGCTGTTGGTTTGAATGTCCTGATTTCTGAGCAAGCTCGGGAGCCAAGCTGATCACTGGTCACTGGGAGTAGTCAACTGGCCAGAAAGGTACACCCTGAGTCCTCTGACAGTGTGAAGATGCTGGGGGAGGAGCTCATACCATTGAACTTGTCCTTCACGGAGGCTTGGTTAGGAGGAAACTGTCATATTTTGGGTCAGGGAAGAAAACTTGGAGGAAGGAGGCTGTGTTAGGATTTGAGGTTCTCTCTGGGATCAACCACATCTTCCAAGATTTTACAGGTGTGAGCCACGGGCGCCCGGCTAAGATGTGTTCTGTAAGAGGAAAAGGATCACCACGTGTGAAGAATAATGTGAGCTGCTCCATTTCACTTTCCTAAAGACATGTAAGCTCTCTGTCTGTATTCAACCACTCCCAAGAATCTGCCTTGTTCTCCTAAGCAGTTAATGACTGAGCGCATTAGGGCCCTTAGGAAGCCCCGTCTTCTCAAGGCTCTACCCGAGTTCAATCACGTTTAGCCTCATAAGAAAACAGCCACCGTATTCATGGTTGAACATGTCAGAACAGAGAACTGAGGCACGGACAGGTCTATGCAACATTCCCAGTAGACGGCTCCTCAGCAGGACTGGAACCCAGCCAGTGAGGCTCCACGCACTTTGCCCAGCCAGTTCTGATAGGAATCTGAGAAAGGAGGATGCTCCATGCAGAGTCATGGAAACTTCATTCCAACCTTCTGTACTAGAGTGTCATGATTCACTGGAGAGAATGTTCCCAAGAATGTGGAAAGTCTGCCTCCCTTCACCACCCTTCACGGTTTCTGCGTGGTGGGCAAGGTGTGCCATGTAAAATGAGAAAAGGGGCTTCTTCAGGGACTGAGCATCAGGCAAGCATGTGGCCTCTTCCTAGGAGGAAGACATGACAGGCAGTGGATTGCAAGGCTGGGAAAGATTCACTCAGTGTCATGACCAAAATCAACCCACCCGATTCCCTGCCTAACCTCGCGGGTGATACAGGTTTCTGCTGCCTTCTGAGGTCCTTTGGAAGAAAACAGGGTTTTTGCCTAAGAAAATGTAGATGAAAAATGAGGCATATTATGGCTTGAGGAACCCTCTGGATCATAAACATCACGTGAAATGCTTTGTATTGCATAGAATTCCGTGAGCCTGAAATTGAGCTCTTCATATTGTTTTCCACAAAACAAAAAGATGAGACCGCCCCATTGGAAAGGGTCACTTTTTCTCCAGAAACAGGCTTCTCATAACAAGATTGCCCTAGACGTTTCTCACTCTCTAGAACACAGCGGCCCAGTGGTGCTTCAGCAAAAACCCACGGTGAGGAATTCCATGCCAAAAGGAGTGACGACAAGACAGGGCTCCAGGAACCCGGAGGGGCCGCTCGGTGGGCTCGCGGGAGAAGGCAGGGCTGGGGCCCCAGGCTGGACCTTGAGAGGGAGAAGATACAGAGGGGGAGAAGGAAGTCCCAAGAGCACCCGGGCGCGGAGAGGGCGGGGATGGGGCAGGATGGCTTCCAGGGTTTAATGTCAGGAGACTCATTGCATCATCATCCCCTGAGTCCAGTGATTTTCCTGCTCCTTCTGAGTGGGAAAGAGCAGGGCGGACTGTCCTGGCTGCAGTGAGCCCTGCATGGACACCTCTGACCTTTCTCAAGAGAGGGGGGTTCCTTCCTGATGAAACTCTGTGACAAGAGCCGCAGAACGGGGTCTTCATCAGGTTGTGACGACACAGACCTTTCCCATCCTGGAAGCTGGCCACAGCCAGAGAGTAGGAATCACATTTCCGACATTCTGAGCCAGACTGGCGGGGACATAGTTCAGCAGGGATAGACTCAAGGTGAGGCTGACAGAGAGAGGATCCCAGGCCTGATCATTGTGGGGCTGGACAGAAACCAGTTTCCATCTGCCACCTGCTTCTGGAAGTTTTCTGTGGAGTGCCCGCCTGTAGATGGCACTAGCCGAAGGTGGCCTGGCTCAGAAGTGTGTTGAAACTGAAGGCAGTGTGGCCCCCACCCGGCCAAGGAAGCTGCACACACAGGAGCTGCCCGGCAAAAGCAAGGGCACCGGCTGCCGTGCCAGGCGAGCACCAAAACCGTCTCGGAGTTCTCAGGCCCAAACTCTGAGTCCTCGTCCTCCTGGGGAGCCACATTCTGGCCACAGCTTTTCAGTGCAAGGACAGGATCTCTGCCCTTGGCATCGCCTCTCCTCACAGCCCTCAGCCCTGGGCAGCCTGTCTTAGGCCCCAGGAGGGTCTCATGAACGCAGCCCTGGACCAGGCTCCAGTGGGCGAAAGTTCCCTCCTCACCCTGTCCCGCCTGTTGGACCCTCCCACTGGGTGAGGTGTCTTCCCAGGGCTCAAATCAAACCAGGGGGTGATGAGGGCGGGCTCCTGCAGACAGAGCTGTCCCTGTTCTTGGGCTCCCTCTGCTCTGATCCTGTCTAGACAGGGTTGGTTTCACTCTGCTGAGTGCAAGTGCACCCCACCCCCGACACTGGGTCCCTCAGGGCCCAGACACTGTCCTCACCGTTAAGTCCCCAGAACTCACACAGTGCCTGGCCCTTCTGCAGTTCTTAAACATATGCAATTTTCTTTCAAAAGCCCTCAGAAACCACACATGAATGATCGGATCAGAGCACCCAACAACTCTGCAAGGAAACACCCAGGAAGGAAGTCACACCTTCCTCATCTGTGTATCTCTAGAGCTGCACCATCCAGCATGGGAGTCCCGGCCTGGCGGTGCTGTGTATAACTAGTTCATTCGTGAGTGCAATTAATCCAAATAGAACGAGACATTCCACTCCCCAGTCACACTGGCCACATTTCCCGTGCCCCACACACTTTGTGCCACCAGCCACCAAATTCAACAGTAAAGCGAGAGCATTTGCACCCACACAGAACACACCCTTGGGACTCTGCTCGGAGCATGGCATGGAGTCTGTGCATTGAACTCATCTAACGAAGAAACCCGTGCATCAGAGCTGGAATTTCAGGTGAATGAGAATGGAAATGAGAGCTCTAATGACCTAGTGGAAACGGGGAAGTGGGAAGACGAAGGGGTCCCCTCTCCTGACGGTTTGCACGTGTCAGCAGCGTCTTGTTGGAGACTCCAGACTCCACAGAGGCAAAGGAGGGTTGAACAGCCCAAGAGAGACAGCAGGGTGGTCCTGGGCGGTCCAGGGCAGCTGTAGGAGGAGGATGGATGAGCCTTCCTCTGGAGTCATCGTTTTTTTTTTCTCTAGAGACTCCATGGTCAACAGAAGACATGAACGAAATAGTGAAGAAGACGACACTCTGGGTTTGGAACAACCCAAGGAGGGACCCGATAGAAGAGGGCGCCTGCAGCAGCTGGGGTCGGCCTGCGGCTTCAGAGACTAAGCAAGTGGGATGAATCAGAAAGAGAAAGGAGGTGTGTGAGGAAGGCGGCTTTGTCCTTGTCTTTCCTGACCCAGCAGGGAGAGGTTTGGATCCTCTGGGCTTGGCGTGTGCAGCGTTTGTAATCACTTTTTCTCTCTGTGGTTTTAAAAAAATCTTTCCCAGCAAACCACGTCTTTCCTGCCTTTGCCTCAGCCAATCTTCAAAGCCTTTGGTGATGTGTGCAGCACCTCTTGGGAAATGTACACAGGAGATTTCGGTCTGGGTTTTCGGCATCGACCAGCAGGGGATGGAATCTGGGTGCCCTACTCCCTCGCAGGCACCACGGGATCCGGGAGCCAAACCTCTTCTCGCCAGTGCAGGGGGGGTGAGAAGCCGGCCCTCTCCCTCCTCGCTTTCAGGACTGTGGCCACTGCTTCCTGGTCTGCCTCACTGTCTGTTCCTGGTTGAAAGGCTGTTCCCTGGGCTGGACAAGGGAAGGAATCTCCCCTGGGATAACTGCAGATGT